GATTCGCACCATGTCCGTGAGGCCCAAGTTGCAGGCCGGGGCTTCGGTAAAATATGTCGGTGGCCTGCACCGTGATCGTCGGTGCAGGTCCCAGTGGTGCTGGCCACGACAAATACCCGTCGTCCACCAGCTCTGCCAGACGAGCGTCGTGCGGCTGTTGCTGCAGCAAGCGTCGGATCGTTTGTGGGACGTGCACCAAAGCCGCGGCCGAGAGCGCCGCGGTGCCAATGCTGACGGCTTGTCGGGCATACACGGCATTGTTTCGGCGACGAGCGTAGACGACTGCAAGCGCTCCGAAACGGCCCGTATCAAGGTTGCGCTCGTAGATGCGTACCATGAGCACCGTTCGGAGCTGGGGCAGCTGAAAGTACTGCTCTGCGCGCAGAATCGCTCTCGGAAGACCGAGGTGCCGATGGTCGACTTCGACGACAAATCGTGGCACGCGAAGGTCGCCATCGGCCGGCACGAGCTGAATTGGGGCGAGCTGGGCGTCCGGGTAGCGCAGAGCTCGTCTTCCGTCTGGAAACAGCCCATGAAAGACGCAGGTCCCACCACCGGACTCCACGATCTCGCCCGTTGCGATGGAGTAGGTGGCGATCTGTCGAATGATCTCGTCGACAACGACCCGATGCGTAGGACCTTCCGCCATCTTGTCGATGTACACGTCGGCTGTGGTCGATGGAGCTTTGAGTGGACCGAGAAAGACCTCGGAGAAGCTAACAAACTTGAAGTCTTGACGAAGCCAGCTCTGGAGCCACGCCTGGAGCGGGATCGCAGTACCGATGAGGAGCGGACCGAGGGGGCAGTCGTCCGGGCGCTTGCGGAAGACAGCGACCGCTTCGTCGAGCCCACTGAACGTGAGTTTGCCATGCATGGGATCGAAGGTCGTCGCCATGCTGCGCGTCCCCGTCTCTTTTTGGATAAGACGCTCAACTGCAAAGTTGAAAATGCACTTTCGAAAACAAACATTCCAACGGTACAATGCAAATCGCGGCCGGTTGATCGGAGTGGACGGAGAATGAACTCGAGTTAAATTAGACTACGGGCGACTCGCCCTCTATACGTAATCGTGGGCAATGGACGACGTCTTGCGCTTCTTCTTGGGGCCCAGCAGCTGCATCCAGCCGTGCACAAGCTGACGCTGCCCGGCGGCCTGTAGCTGGCGCACGGCGACTTGCCAAACTGCGTAGAGGACGACAGCCAGCGCCAAGAGACATAGCGTCCAGGTATCCACGGCGTCGGTGGCGTCGACGATCGGGGCTTGGCGCGCGCCCAAGAGGAGGTTGCCGGCGCCAATCGCAAAAGCAATCACCTTGCGTTCGGCCTGCACCACCGGGTGCGTCGGTGGCAGCGCCTCGACGCTCGACGGCGCCAGCGGCCACGGCAGCGCCCAGCACGGCTGACCCGGCCCGAGCTCGCCCGTCCACGCCACCGTGTACTTGGTGACGCTGTGCGTATCTTGGTCAAAGCGCTGGAGGTGCGTGAGCAGCGGGACTTGGTAGGCGTCGCCGCTGATCTTGGCGCTGTTGCGGTGGATAAAGACCAAGTCCCCGTGCATGTCCCGTTGGCCCATCGCGACGCCGCAAAACTGGAGGCGCCACGGCAGCTGGGTGCCGGCAATGACGGGCAGCGACGCGATGTAATGAAAGGACGTCTTTGTGCTCAGGAATGCGAGGCGGAAGAGGTCCTTGTCGCCATACACAAGTTGGAGGTCGTCGACCAAGTTAACGTCATTGGGGCCGAACGTGAGCGCCATGAGCATGTGCAGCGCGGGCAGCGATGTGGCGCGGTTGATGAGCACTTGGCCGCTCTCTTGCTCAAACATCCCAATGGGAAATGGCATGTCGAGGTACTCCCAGAGAAGACTGTCGCCATCGACGTGGAATAGCGTGTGCGACGGCTGCCAGTAGTCGGGCCAAAACACGGCGCCTTTGGCTTGAAAAATGGCCGACTCGAAAAGGTACGTGGGGTCGCGCAGCGGGATGTTGTCGCAATCGAGCACGAGCACTTGGTCAAACGACGAGTGGTAGATCGCGTACGGCTTGGTGCGGAATTTGGTCGCGCGCGGGTCCGTGATGGCACGCAGCACCACGTTGTCGGTCTGGACGAGCCGCTGTAACACATAGTTGGTTCGCGGGTCCATCTCGCTTGGGCGATAAAAGAGCTCGATGGGCAAGAGACAGCCGTACGTGCGGAGGAGCTGGATGATGCCAAAGACGCTCGGCACGACCGCTGGGTAGATGGAGAAGACGAGGCCGCGGCTGGCCGTGCCCGATATCACGGGCGCCGGCGCGTGCTCGTAGGCCGCCGCGCGATGGCGAAAGTCGGTGAACGCGCGCGCCATGCTGCAGGTAAAGTTGACTTCGTGTCCGATGCTGTGGCACGTCGTGGCCATGACGCGGTACGTGCTGCCACTGGTTCGGTTGCGCACCTCGCAGTAGCCGGCCTGGCCCGACACGATCGGGGCACCGCACGACTGATCGGACGACGGACGCCGCTGGCCACGCAACGGGTCGCAGTCGCTCATGGCTCGCCACGCGACGCACTCGAACTCGTGGGGCTGCCACACGGCGGGCACGCTGTCCAGAGTCAGGTTGCGCGCCTCGTTTGTCGAGGACAGGGGCGGCAGCGCGATGTGGAAGAGGCCCGTCATGTAGGCGACGAGCGCGCAGGTGGCGAGGAGACATGCGACTCGGGATGTGCTTGATGCGGCGGCGCCTTGGCGGCGCCAGGACGCGCTTGGTGGTGGCATTCGCAGCATGTAGAATGGCGCTGCCTCTGTGCAAATTGGAAGAGGGTATGCGTTGAATAGTGTAATTGAAAGATTGAAATAGTATGAAAATGGACACACGCGGTTCGTGCCGAGCGTAGATGTACTAGGAGCTCTTGCATGGTTTGCGTGCACGAGCGATGGATACAGAACTCTCGACTTTCCGGAGCGAGCGAAGTGGCACCGTCATGACAGCGCATCATGCTTGCTCACGTCATGGGCTGACAGCGTTTGACAGAACACTATTTCCCTTCGTAGAGACCGTAGAGACATGGAGACGAAATATACCGTTTATGTCGGCGTATTTTCCCAATATATCCGTAATTTCAAGCGAACAATCCGTAATATTGTGGTCAAATGCCGACAAATCCCGTTTTGGCCGTCAAAGTTTTCTCTCCAAGTTACGGAGCGTGAGCATTTTGCCGGAAATTACCGACCGCTTGAGAATGCGCATCGCAGCGCGCACACCGAGGCCCAACGAACTAGCGCAAGGTGTATTATAGCATATTGTGGAAAAATACCCTCGGTGTTTGGTCCTTTCTCTCCTCCTGCTCTTTACCATTTAGCGCTGTTCCGCGTTTGGAAATTTAACATTTAGCGGGATTTCCATCGAAAAACGCATTTCCGGTTTGAATCCCGCAATATTGACCAGCAAAAAGGGTCGTACACCATTCAGCTCCAGTAGCCCGTTCTACTACACTGTAGAGTCCTTCTAGATAGTGCATATCTACCGAGCGATCCTCACGTTTGCTCGGTGTGCCCGCCTTGTCTTCGGGCATCTCATGGGTACAGCTCGTGGCTCGTGGCCATGCACATCGTCGTGTGACAAGGGCGCCTTGACTCTGCAACCGTGCCTGCCAGCGCTTTCCAGTACAGAGGTACAGTCCATGTACTCGCGCGATGGAATCCACGAGCTGCCGGATAAACGTTCCCAGCACCATCACTCCTCGCACATGTCCAACGCCGTGCGACAGCGCCGCGCTGCTTCCACCGACGGCGTTGAGCGTTGACGTCCACCAACGACAGTACAATACTGTACATCTACGGCGAAGTTAGTTAGTCGAGCGCTGACTCTAGTCTTGGCTGCTCGATAACGTGGACGACTCGGAAAGAGCCCGCTCGCTGATAACGACAAATATGCAGTGAATCCAGTAACGTGTCCACCGCCGTCCACATGTACCTTCCGGATAACCGAGTCGCAATCGGATTTCCAAAAAAATACTGCCGCATTTGTCGAATCTCTCGCAGGCAGCATGGGCATGGCCGCCAAGTCGATGCCGATCCGCTGGGACATCCTCCTCTGTACGTCGCCGCAATAGGCCTCGCCGACTCACGCCGTCGCGCTGCGTAGACCGGTACCATCCTCGGCGACTCTCGCCGGCGCAGCTGCTCGTCGCTGCGGCGGCCCTCCTTGTGCTCTTCCAGTACAATGTGGTCTACTCGCGCACCATGTACCACCAGGCCCACAAGGCGCCGCAGCCGGTGTATGGCCAGCCGATCGCCAAGATCGTGCACCAGAGCTGGGTCTCGCTCGAGACGATCCCGGCGTCGGTCAAGAAGCACAAGACGGTCGAGTCGTGGAAGGCGCTCAACCCGAGCTACCAGTACCGCTTCTGGTCGGACGACGACATCCCGATCTTTGTCGCGCGCCACTTTCCCGAGTACGCGATTCTCTTCCAGCGCTTTCCCGTTGACATTATGCGCTCGGACTTTTTCCGGTACCTGGCAGTCCTCAAGTACGGCGGCGTCTGGAGCGACATTGACACGCTCTGCCTCCAGCCCATCGACAAGTGGGCACCGACAATGGCGCCGCGGGGCGTGAGCATGATGATCGGCGTCGAGCTCGATGCGTCCGACGTGCTCCTCGACTGGTGGAGCCTCCAGCTGCAGTTTACGCAGTGGACGTTCGCAGCTGCGCCCAACCACCCGATCATGCGGCACGTCGTCGAGTTCATCTACCAGCGCTTCAAGGCCATGCCAAACATTCCGACACACGTCCACATCGTCACGGGCCCGTCGATCTGGACGGAAGCCATTCTGGACTACTTTGCCAAGACGACCGGCGTCTCGTCGATCCACGGATTCCGCTTTCTCAAGGAGCCGATGCTGCTCGGGGACGTCGCCATCATGCCCGTGACGTCGTTCAACCCGACGAACCCGCCGATGGGCGGCCGAGGCATCGCTGACCCCGCGTCGCTCTCGGCGCACCTCTTTCTCGGTTCGTGGAAGGAGTAGAAGAATCCCACACATAATATATGTAATCAACAAGACGCAAGTATCAAGGTATCAACTACACGCCACTGGTGGTAAAGTTGCCGGTGGGACCAACACTGCCGTCGGCGCCGCCAGCACCAATGCCTACACATATCTTGCCTCATGCCGAGTCGCTAGAGAGGGACTACCCGAGACGCTGACAAAGTACGTCGTGTTGGGGCGGAGGTCCGAGAGCAGTGTCCAGTCGCTCACGCCGCGGTACACTTGCACGTCGTTGAGCATGAGGGCGTAGCCTTGCACGTCGTTTAGGGCCGGCCACGAGACGTTGGCGGTCGACGACGTGAGATTGCGCGCGTTCGGCGCAGTCGTCGGAGCGTCCAGGTAGTAGTACGCGGCTAGCCCACACAATAGACACTCAGACGACAAGAAGATGGAGACGTACGGGGCGTATCGAGAAACGTCGGCCAGCCCCACGCCGCGTAGCCCTGGATAAAGAGCCCGAGCCCGATCGCCTGGACGAAATATGCAGGTCGCGTCGGAAAGGCCGTCGCCGGCAGCAGGAGGAGACCAATTTGGACGTGGTGGAGATGCAGGAGCGTATGCGGGTACAGGCCGTGGACGATGGCCATGTAGACAGCGACTAGAGCGTACAAGCCAAAGAGGGAGACGAGCGCTTTGCGCTGGTAGAGGTGCCGCAACAATAGGAAGGCAAGGCCGAGCGCCACGAGCCCGAGGAGCCCAAAGACAACGTACGTCCACGCGTTCACGCCCGAGGTGGCCACGTAGCCGCCAAAGTTGAAGTTCTAACGCAGTCGACTTGGACGATAGAAGAAGACGCCGGTGGAGGACTTACGAGCCACGGAAGGTATCCAAACTGGGTCAAGTGTAGCATGAGGTGAAAGGGCACGACCGAGAGAAGACCCCAGTACCCAAATCGCTCCTAGTATCAAGGTATCAAGTTCCACGGGATGAGGGGACTATGCATGTATATACCTTGCGCGAGTACGACGCATAGTTTGCAAACGTGTCTTGCACAACCCAGAGGTGCAGGCAGTGCACCGCGACAAGGACGATCGCAATGTCGGTGAAGAGATGGAGGCTCAGCGAATCATAGTCAAAGCCTAAGCCATCATAGCGTCCAGAGATATTTGCAACAAATACAAAGGCGCCTACTGGTCGGTGACGCAATGAGCGTCACGTAGACGTAGCCCCAAACGCACTGCACGTGCGTGAGGAGCGCCGGCGAGAGCGCTGGAAACCACGCCAACCCGAGGGTTGCGGCAGCGCCGACGCTGAAAATGTACCACGACAGGTCGACGCAGTGCGAGATCGAAGCGGTGTCCAGGTAAAAAGACATGGTCTTGGGGAACCACGAGGCAAATGCTTGGGTCGTGACGCCGTGCTGCGTGGACGCTGCAAAGCTCATGCGCTCGTCTGCACCATTGTCGTCAAGCGCGATGTAGAACGCAGAGCGATACCGTCGTAGCGCATGAGGCCACAGCCGCCGCCCGACCCGATGGCGCCGGCGTGGATCGCAGCCTTGCAGATGCGCGAGTCGCCGCTAGTCACAATCATTAGTGTCGTAGTCGGCCTTGAATTGTACTTTTACCGGTACGGCCCCGACCCGATGACCGCGAGCGCCGTCGACTGATCTACGCAGCGTCAAATGATGCCGTTGCAGATGCTTGGTCCAGTAGAAGGTACCAGAGAGGCAGCCGCTGGGGCACCGGAAGGCGAACCAGTCGGTCTGGAAGGGCTGGCAGTCGATGCCATGGAGGCCACAGTTGGGTCCCTTCCAGTAGCCAAAGTACCGGCAGCCCATCATGGCTGGCGCTTGGCCATTGACTTTGGCAGCGAAGAAGCTGTAGTAGAAGAGGGTCGTGAGCACGCTGCTGACGACGACGAGGTACACGGCGATAGGCATGTGCTGGCGCCTAAGCAAGGTGACGCACGCTCCGTGGATGACACCTGTACCAGCGATGGGGCGCCGCTTTGAGCGCGTCGTAGTGCGTCTCATGGACCATCGGCGACGACGGCGGCGTATGCTCATCGATCGAGAGGCGGTGGACGCGGTGGACGAGGCTCGGCCGGCGCTCGGTGTCGACCTCGGTGGCTTCGGCCATGTCGATCATGGCAAAGTGGAGTACTCCCTTAAATAGATGCAACATATTCTTAAGCAAGGCAATTGCATTGAGAGATTTACTCGTTCTAGTATATGAAACAATGCTATTTCCCTAGAAACAACAGTTGGGGAGTTGTTTTGAATAAAGCCCCTTGCTGTCCTGTGTAGCGGTTACGGGTAACTCCCTCTTTGTGATATATTAGATATGAAAGGGTTTCTCGAACCCGCAGAACTATTCAGTTTCCAAGATGGACGGGTACCGGAACATCATGGGCGGGAAGCTCAGCCTCAAGGCCAAGGGGATCCCGGTCAAGGCGAAGAAGGCGAAGAAGGCGAAGAAGACGAGCCGCAAGCAGCATGAAGACGGCGAGGATGGAGAGGTAGCTGCGAAGAAGTCGACGTCCAAGAAGGTTCGGGTCGACGACGACGTCGTCCTCGTCCCGATGGGTAGCATGACGGAGGCGCAGAAGAAGCATGCCAAGTTCAAGTCCAAGCGCGTACGCAGCATCTTGCATCCTCGGCAGGCTCATGATGCGATGCATGTATGTAGGAAGAGGAAGATATCCGCAAGCAAGCGTCCAAGACGTACCGCGAGCGCGTCGAAGAGTACTCGACGTACCTCGGCAACCTCACCGAGCACCACGACGTTCCGCGCGTCTCGGCAGCCGGCAACGGCTAAGTCAACCGAATGGAACACTCGTATTATGCTATGTAGCGATTCGCTTTCCGCTTACAAATCGGTGCGGCCCGACGCCGTCGGGTTCTGCACGTACGGGATGCACTGCTTGGCCTGGGACCAGTCGCGCCCGCGCTTGTCGCCGCACGTCATGTAGAGCTCGCACGCATGCGTCGACGAGCCGTGGCAGAAGAGCGGGTTGTTCTTGCGGCACTCAATGTCCTGGACGAGGCCGCCAAGGACGTCGACGCGGGGGACAATGTCGTTCTGGGGCTTGATGGTCACGACGTAGTCGCGGACGTCCTCTTCGTTGATGTGGAAGCGACCGCGGCTAAAGACGAGGCCGGGACCCGAAAACGAAATCTACAAACATCATGAGGCGACGGCCGACGTCATGGCTCCATCCTACCGCCGGCGACTTGGTGGCCGCGCCGACCATCGCCGCCATCGCACCACCGAGCGAGTGGCCCGTGAGGATGACGTTCTTCCCCGCGGCCTTGAGCGCCTGGACCTTGCGGAGCACGGGCATATAGACCGGCTCGGGCGTGAACCGCTCGAGCATGTTCATCGAGAGGAGCTGGACGACAAAGTCGAGCGGCAGCTGGTTCAAGAACGGGATGAAGACGTTGGCGAACTGCATGATCGTGATGCCGAACCAGTAGTGCATGTCCTCCAGCGCGTCGGCGGCCGACGCCGTCCCGCGGATCGCGACCACGGTCGCGTTCACATCGAGAAAGTCGACCTGGAACCAGCACTGGTGGTCCGAGTTCTTGTCCGAGAAGTCGGTGAAGTTCCAGTTCGAGAGCGCTGTCTTGTCGAAGCGCTTGTGCAGCATGTCGATCTGCAGCGACGTGTTGGAGCCATACGCAGCATCCGCGATCAAGATGAAGTCGATGATGTTGAGCCCGCTCTTCTTGAGGTCGCAGATCGGGTACCGCGGGATGTCGCCCCAGTGCTTGAGCGGCGTGTACTGGACGACGTTGTCGTTGGGCGGCTCAATGTGAAAGTCGCCGCCCGTCACGAACGTGCCGACGACGAACGCCATCGAGAAGAAGACGAACGAGACAAGTACAAACGAAATGACAAAGTGGCGGAACGCATTGCCAAAGATCTGCGGCCAGCGGCGCTGGATCGTCGACGTGCCGACGACGAGGAAAAAGCCCATGATGGGCCACCCGAGGAAGAAGACGGCGAGCGAGAGGTACGCCGAGAGAATCAAGCACGGGATGAGCACGAGGAGGCGCTGATCGAGCGTCAGCTTGCGCCACGGGTGCATGATGCGCTCGCGCAGCGCCAGCGCCTTGCTGCTGAGCGTCTCGGTCTTGGGCTCGTCGCCCGCGACCGGCGTCACCGCGGCGGCGTCAATGTTGATGTAGTCGTCGCGCTTGGACTTGCAGCAGCACGACCAGGCCGGCGCAATGCACGCGGTCGCGCGGTCGACGAGGTTGCGGAAGCTCAGCACGAAGCGGAAGCCGAGGTCGAGCAGCCAAAAGCTCTTGAACGTCTCTTCGTGCACGATGGCCTGGATCTTCTTCTCGAGCTCACGGCGCGTGCGGTGGTAGTTGGCGACAAGCTCGCGCATGCGGGCGTTGCGGCTGCTCCAGTAGTGGCACACTACACGCTGTCGTGAGCACTTGATATCTCGAAACATGCAGCAACATTACCCATCCAGAGCGCGAGGTAGAAGCCCATGGTGTAAAAGCCGACGCGGAGGTAGCGGTAAAACGCGTCGCTGATGCTAAACGTGTCGACTAGACAGAAACATCTAAGTATCAAGATAGTATCAAGACGACGTACAGAGCACGACGAGCGCCGCCGTGGCCGTCACGATCTCAAACAAGATCGGGCAAATGAAGTCCACAAGCACAAAAGTCGAGTAGTCGATCGGCGGGCCGTTGTACTGCGTCGTGCCAAAGACGACGGCCGCGCGGTTGGCGCGAATCACGCTGCGGATCGCAAACTGCCAGCGGCGAACCGGCCGCATCTGGCGGTGCACGAGCTCCTTCTGCTCCTTCTCGTGGATCGTGTCGTCGACGAGCGGCTTGTCCTCCGAGTACGGGTCGTACGTGATGTGGCGCGGGACGTCGTCGAGGGGCATCTCTCGGTAGTGGCGGATGTAGTGGATGACGACGGCCAGCGAGAGGCGAAAGTTGGGCAAGCTGCCCTCGCTGCTGTCGAGCGCGTCGCGGAAGAGCCGCGTCGACTCTTCAAAGACGTACGAGAGGAGGATGATGAGAATCGGGAGCGCGCCGAGCATGAAGAGCGAGCGCAAGATGAAGCCGGGCGCGGCCTGCGCCGACGGCAGAAACACCGAGAAGAAGACTTCCATGAGCACCGAGAAGGAGAACATGACGATGACCATGAGCACCAAAAACGAAAGGTACGAGAAGCGGAACTGGCAGATGACGCGGTACCACGCCCACGCGTCCTGCTCGGTCGTCAAGAGCCGCATCTCGAGCTGCTTGATGTCCTCTTCCTGCGCTCGCTCGAGCGAGATCGGCTCGCGCGACTTGATTGACGGCGCCATGTGCAAAATGCAAAGTCAGTCAGTTCGGCTGCCAGCTCACAAGATACCACCTTTTTTTACCCATGTTTTTTTGCACCATACAAACACCAAGTGTAACGACATTGTATTTGGATTATCCGGATGACACGGCCGGATAAGAACGGGTGGTCGACTTGGGATTTTGAGCAGGTTTGTCCCAGCCGCGGCCCTTTGTTGAAGCGAATCACCTCGTCGGTCCACCGCTTCTCTATACCAACAGGCTAGGAAACGTTGAGCCTCAACGCCTCGTGATCGTCCAGATAATCGCTTGCCCAGCGAAGCAGCAAGACGAAGAGCTCCGAAGGTGTCGCTGGCAAGCACGGTGATCGCGGAGGTGGACAGTGCACACTTGGCTTGTCGTTCAACCCGCAGCTCAGAACGGGCTCAGAACGACGACCCCGGACAAGCGCCCGAGTCTTCTCTTCTGGTGCCGCTGGATTGTAGTGACTGCGGTCGCCGGTACATTGTGGTGTTGCGTCTCTGCGTGCAGTTCTGTGCGCGCAACTGAGATCAAGCTTTGCACACGGCGTCGAGAACCATCAACTCACCGAATGACATGGACCGGTCATCTGCTCCTCACATGTCGCAACGTCAAGGTCTAAAGCCCGAGTCGGCGATGCGCGCTGCAAGAAGAAGCCAAACAGAGACCAGTCTAGTGTTCTTGCAAGAGTTGGCTTCGATCGCTCGGTCGACTGTCGGCCACGGGCGACGTCGCGCCTGCGAGTGCCGGTACTACAGCGCATTCCCTTGAACGAGTACAAGCGGTGCAGCTGCTGCCTTTCCACCACATGGTACTCAAATGCAGCCAATCCCAGAGCTTTGTCGATGTGCGACAATAAAACAGACCAATCACACGACGTCACCATCTAATCGGCAACGCGGGCCGTGGACCGATGTACTTGGATAAGGCAATTTTGACCACCACGCCACATCGAACAGCTCGAGCCAAGCGAATCCAAGCTAAGCTTACTCGGAGCCGCAGCTTCCCATGCTCGTACTGGTGCGCATACCAAGGCGACTAGGGCCCTCTACCCCTATACATAGTCTGTCGACAGTGCGACACAATGTTCTTCACTAGCTTAAATGGATTATTTTACAATTGCTGGATCCAATCGGTCATGAGCGCAAGGTTGGATTCGCGCTCGGGTTCGTTGATGATGCAGTGGAATTGGCCCGGGAGGCTCGTGTACGTCTTCTTCGTCGACGGGACGCGGTCGAAGAACTCTCTGGAAAGGCGAGGACTCGTGACCACGTCCTTGTCGCCGTGGAGCACGAGCAGCGGCGCCGTCATCGCGGCTTCGCGCGCCTTGAGCATCTCCATGCCGCGCGAAATCTCAAACGCGAGGCGCACGCGGAGGTTGCCATGACTGTTGAGCTCGTCATTGTCATAGTCCTTGACAAAGTCGGCGTTGCGCGATAAATCTAGATCGACCAACGACTGTAAGCTCCACGTTCAGCGCGACAGAAAGAAGTATACGCTCGAGGATGACGGCGGGCACGAGCTTCCACTTGGGCACAAGCTTGTTGATGAGCGGCGCCATGGACTGCTGCACCTTGAGGACGCCGCTCATTTCAATGCCGATCGCCGGGGCCAGCAAGAGGACGCCGTCGTAGACATGCTCGTTCAATGTCGCGACGCTGGCCGCAAGAAGACCGCCAAACGAAATGCCACCGACGACAAACTTGACCGCCCTACACGCCATACACTAAGAATACGACTTTGTCAATAAGACTACGTACTTGTTCTGGAAGCGCGCGCGGATCACAGACGTGTACTGATGGATGTCGTCCGTGAACGACTCGAAGCGGTCAATGTCGAAGCGGTCGCCGCCGCTCTTGCCGTGCCCGTGGTGGTCCATCGCAAAGACAGCCATGGGCTGGTTCACGAGGTGCTCAAAGAACGTGTGGAAGCGACTGCAGTGCTCGCCGACGCCGTGAAGGAAGAGGAAGACCGTGCTGAAGTCCTCGGACGTCGGGATGTACTCGCGCGTGTAGATGGTCACGCCGCGCTTGGACTCGAACGACGACTCGGCCAAGGTGTAGGTCATTATAGATCGTAGTGGGAAGAACTAATTTGAGTTGTGAGAGGAGTTTTGGAGTTTGCACTTGGTAGTTGAAGATGCGTGCGACTTTGCCCTTGGCATCATTCGTAATCGTGTGTTGGCGCCATTTAAATACCATCATCTCGCTTTTCATTTTAATACATGATGCGGCATACAAAGCGCAAGATATATGTCAGGCGATTTGCGCGGCAGAAATTAATATTTCGCGCAATCAAACGACCAATCACGCGCGAGCACGAACATTTGGCAGGTGCGACTAAAACGTAATGCGCGTGAAATAGGTTTTAGTCGAACCGGATGCTACCTGGGGTCGTCGAGCCGCGGGAGCGCAAACGCCAAGCGCCCTTGCGGAGATGCGGAGCTAATAGTATTACGTGCGACGATGGCGTGTATATTGTGGGCGACCCGTGGCCCTATGACTTGTCCAGCGCTGACACGTTTCAGCAGTCGGTGGTTAAACTCTCTTGGAGACGCCGGCCTCTGGTTCTTGGGACTCGATGGCGATGCTGGACAGGGGTAAACTATTATGTACCTCTGATGCTGGATGAGTAAAGTCCTCGATGGCGATGCTGGACAGGGGTAAATTATTATGTACCCCTGATGCTGGATGAGTAAAGTCGCTCGATTTCAAACGCCATGGTTGCTGGACGGCGTGTGATCACACCCATATAACCTATCGGTCAAAAGACTATAAAACGCATCTAACGCAATCGGGGGGTTCTCGATGTTCGCGGCGGTTCGCATCACGGGACGAGGATCGAAGAAGCCAATCAAGGGCCCCTTTGGTGCGTCACGTCATGCACAGGATCCATTGACATCACTGGACCAGCACCGCGGGAAGGCCAATGTGAGTGTCTTGTTGAAGGACCTTCTTGACTGCGCTACGCCCAAGAATGCAGGCCGCCGTGTCCCGATCAGAAGCGCGCGGACTCGTCGAAGTGTCCATTCAAGCAGAAGATCTCGTGCCGACTTGGTTGCTCGCTTCGACCTCCGACGCCTCGCCTGGAGCCGTTGATCATTGCGAGGTTCAAGCTAAAATGTACGGTACTTCGAAAAACGATCTTTCGAATTTCGTCCCAACTTCCTTCCCCATGTATCTTCCCTATCAGTGGGCAACTTCAACTTGCACCGCGCTGTAGCGTAAACAGCGTGGTGAGGTGGTGGCGGTTTCGTCGCCGGCGTTTCACCTGTAGGCACGGTTCACAAGGTGCTTCCGGATGAGGTATATACCACTCGTGCCAGCCTTGAGGACCATCATGCAACTCGTTTTCACGTGATCCTGCGCATGGTAGATGTATTCACACCTGCAAAGCTCGACCGCTGTTCATCCCCATGCACACTCAAAGTACTCGTCGCTTATTGTTTCGTTCGCGAGGAGCGACTCTAGTCGGACGATTGGCAGTCAGTCATTATCAATGGAAGAACGTATCGTAACTCTCTCGTCTTGCGACGGCCTACGAGAGCTGCAGTTCTCGACCTCGATTCACACCAGAGTCTAAACTGAGAAACATCACGATGTCGACAAAACCACTGTCTCGGCTTCTCTTGTTGTTGCACCCGTGCCCCTTTTCCTGGCAATGAGACGCAAAGTTTTCTGTGGAAACCAAGTGTCTTCAGCGAGATGTTGAGCTCAAGGCCTTGGCCGGGCGCTGCTAGCTATCGTTCATCATAGCTCACATGAAAAAGACTAGCTATTCTTATAACTCTACATTAGCTATCAGGCCGTCTACTAGGCCGAGCAATCAGGACTGTTCCAGGACTCCAGGGGAGGCTGCGCGATCTTCCGAGGTCGCAAGAATTCGCGTGTCAGCACGCTCCATATCAGCCAATCAGGTGCGTGGGGATGCCTAATATTCTCCAATCACAGAATCCTATTAAATACAATGCCGGTCCATCTGATTGCATACATTTTTCAAGTTTATTTTGCCTGAGGAATTAAATGAGATGGCTCAAAAGCCGGAATTCATTTTGGTTTCAGATCCCCACAACGATGACCATGCTGCGGTCCCTCCTCGTCCTGCTGCTGACCGCGATTGCGATCGCACTCGAGGCCGCGCAGTTGCCCGCGCCCTTTGGCACACGCCTTGGCGTCACGGATGGCGGCGTCGAAGTCTACTCCTGCAACCTGCCGCCGGGCGAAGAGGCGCTCGACATGGACCCCAACTACGTCGATGGCGTCTACACGGGCGTGCGCTGGCAGTGTGTCGAGCTCGCTCGCCGGTACTTGTACATCAACTACGGCGTCATCTTTGGCGATGTCGACTACGCCTTCCAGATCTACGACTTGCCGGCCTTTGAGCGCGTCACGACCAAGGCGGCCGTGGCCGTGACCAAGCACTCGAACGGCGCCGCAACACCGCCGAGCCCCGGCTCGCTCTTGATCTGGAGCGCGTACGGTGAGATGGCCGAGACGGGTCACGTCGCGGTCGTCGTCAACGTCACAGACACGCACGTCGACATTGCCGAGCAGAACGTCGAGGACACGATCTGGCCGACGGGCCGCCTCTACTCGCGCCGCCTCCAGGTCCAGCGCAACGCGACCTCGTACGAAATCCAAAAGTGGTACGGCAAGGAGCACATCATCGGCTGGATCACGGTCGACGGCGCGTCGCCGGCCGCTGTCCTCGACTCGACAACGACGAGCAGCAGCTACGGCTTTCTCCTTGCAGCTCTCATCGTGGTGGCAGTGGGCGGGTTTGTTGCCCAGCGCCAGTACAGCCGTCGCAGCGACCGCTACGCCCAGTACGACTTTGTCAAGTAGGCTACGCGCATCATATAACAACAGAGCATTCTTCTCAACACCTCTGTGCTAGTAGATCGCAGTAGGGCGTCTCACAACACGTCGTCGCTTCTGTGGACTTGGCGCTGACACATGCCGAGCACCGACGCCTTGCCTCGCCATCAGCTTGACACAGGGCACTCCGTGGCGTGGAGAAGGGATGGCACGCCTGCTTTTGGAGCTAGTATTTAGGAGTAGACGGAAGATCGCAACCGATTCGCAGCGCTTGGGGAAAGAGCAAAATGCCGAGTCTAGTGATGGGCCCACCCGAGCGATATACACTAGAATGACTTTGAATTTGTAGGTATATAAACATGAGCGGTCGGGCTTAGAGGTCGCAGTCTCGAATGTAGCGGTTGCCTTCGCTCTCCTTGATCTCGGCGCTAGGCATTATTGTAAGACTCAGGAGGCAAGGACTCAGTTCGTACCGATACCGACCCATCGTGACAACGGCGCGGCCGTTGCGCTCCGTCTTTGGCGGAACATAGTACGCAGAGTACGCGGGCTTGGTGTCTTCAGGCTCTTCGTCCTCGTACGCCGGCGTCCAGTTGTTGTCGTTCTTGCCAAACCGCTGGTGCAAGCCAAGCGCAATCTTCTCGTCAATAACCTGGATGCACAAGTCGCACACGCGCGCGTGCTCGTCCGCCGTTTGTGCGAGCTCCTACGCACGCAGAGCATCGCACGTTGCCTTCGCCATGTGCGGCGCGTACCCGGTGGATATGCGGCGTGCGGTTGTTGGAGCAGCTGTCGCAGACGACGGCGCCACACCGGCGGCAGTGGTGCTTTCGGTTCCAGAAGCTAAACTCGTCCTTGCACACCATGCACTCGGCGACGGCCACGTCGGCGACCCAGTCGCCGTCCTTCTACGCTCATGGCCTCAGACCTCTTCCGCCTACGCAGCGCACCTACCATGTGGCGGTGCCATGTGCTGTCGAGCGGGTCCTTGGTCTTGGAGCGCAGTAGCGGCGGGCCGTCCTTGGTCATCTCGAAGCTGCGAATGTGGCAATGACGTATCTTGCCGACAGGACGAGGAAATATCGAAAAACGGTCCATTCGAAACCTCTTATCTTCGATATTCAAGAACATTCACATCGAGAGGTATCTATTCATAGAGGTCCAGTTACATTGTCGACAAGTGTGCCGAACCGAGGCTGCAGCACCGACGCCGAGCCCCAAGGCACTTTGGCTGGCACAATGCATAGTGCACAATAGTTGGTCGACAGGGTATCTAAGCTTTGTTACTCGTATAGGTTCAAACTACACGTTGAAAGAAAGATGGCGCTATCCCAAAGAGCTTATAGGAAGCCCCTAAGAGCTTAGAGTAAGTTTAATATAGAACGGTTTCAGTCGTAAACGGTGCAGTAAACGATGGCGAGGCATCCGCCGCCGACGTCGATTCTGGACATGGCGCCATACGGCAGTGACAATGATGACGATGATGGCGAAGGGTCGCTCGAAGAGCCAATGCGGATCCGAACGTACGAAGAAGAGCTCGCCCTTGAGACTCGCGCCAGGTGTGACACACCAACGCATGAGGTTGCCGTGCTGACGATGCCATAGGCAAGCGGTCAAACCAAAGAAAGCAAAACCCAAGGCCTCTCCAAGCCCAAAACAACGTCGCGAGCCCTCGCACCGAGTAGCGCCACACGCCGAACCCACGTAGACGCGTCGACGTCATTTGTCGAACTCAGTTCATTTCGCCTAGCAACGCTTGTGCGGAGAAGGATCTCGAGATTGAAGAGACCATGTTGGCTTCTTCACAGTTCGAGTCCCCGGAGGATGCAAGAAGCCACGACGATGACGACCTGATGGAACGACCACGAACCGCTTTTGAGCCATTTCCAACCGAGCATGAGTCGTCAACGATGAGCCAGGAGAACTGCACTTTGTCTCTTGAGCCAGAACAGCAGTTACCCACGGCCACCGAGCCTGCACCTCTTCAGGCGACTCTAAGCGACGACCACGATGATGGCGCCGCCATCACTTTCGAGAGCAACCCACCAAGTGATCATTCCCCATCGACCCGCGACGCCGAAACGACAACTCAACAGGAAGAGCCAAAACTAGAAGAGCCACGACTAGAAGAGCCAAGAGGTCACACCGATGTACCGCCAATCAATGTGACGACAAGCAGCGCAGACAACGAAATTGCATCGACAGAACTGTCGTGCGTGAACGGTCCAGGACCCACCTCTGTTCAAGACGAGCCACCGTAGCCGAGTTGCGTTTCGCAGCGCGATTGGCTCATGACATGGCGTAGGGTTACACAAGCACCTCCGCGCCGGGTGCACGCTATTGTGAAAAAGCCTATTGTATATTACCAAGTGCCACCGCCAACGCCCAATAGCGCTATCGTGGGCGCTATTACCAGCGTTGATTCGGTACCGAAAGTGGTGCCCGCCCCCCGGCACCAAGATTCTACAAGGTATAACGCTATAGACGCTTTTCACTCGATCTCTCTGAGGTCTATCTGGGGTAGCCCACCGTCTGCGGAACCAGTACTAGCCGCATCTCGGTGTGCTAGTTCATCGAGAATGTCGTCCATAGAGCTCGCGTAGGAACGAGCCAGAGCTCACGGGAAGTTCGATGCTGGTGCCGCCAGTAGCCGTGTTCACAACGACGCTGCTCGACGATTTAGAGCACTACGACATGGAGATTGAGAAGGTGGTCAAGGAGATCGAAGAGCTCACTCTTCTTCAGCGCCAGCGCCAAGCGAATAAGCCGCCACCCGTGGTAAATGACGTCACGAGCTATGTGCAGCTGCACCAAACCTCTCCAACGACGTCGACACCGCGCTCAAGCCCGAAAAAAGCCGGACACTCAAGTCCACGAAGAGAGAGCCCGCGCAAGCTCGCCCCTCTACCCGAGAGCAAAGACCCGTTGGACGAAGGAGACAAGAAACCCGAAGCGTTATCCCCTAGCTACGCTCGACCAACTCGATCGCGCGTTTCCCACCTTGACGCACCCCCCGAAAGCCCCCGCAAGCTGCGAGCCGCTGTCGTAAGACCACCGTTTTATAGGATCAAAGGGCTCAGCGTAAAAGTGCAGAAGCCCACGGCCCGAATACAAGCACCGCGACAGCGCAAGCCAGCGAATGCCGACGACAAGGCGTCCGAAGGCCGAAAGGAAGCGTCGACCAAACCGGACAAGACACTGCCGCCGCTCGAGCCCAAGGACGCCGCGAGACAGAACCCGCTGGGTGTCCCCGCGCACATTCTGGAAGACGGTGGCGTCTACCCGTGGAGCAAGCTCATGCAGCAAGTGATCGTGCCCCAGGGCACCGATTCGCCGGTGGTCTACGTGCCGATATTTAACCCAGCGTACATTGCCGAGCTCAAGAAAACGTCGCCCGCCAAACCGTCCTCGATCCAACCGTCACCCACCAAACCGGTTCGCCACGGGCGACGCACCAACGTCAAGCCAAATTGAATCAAACGCATTAGAATAGAGTTAAGATAGCGGAACACGATCAATGAACGACCATCGAGTCTACGCATCGGCCTGCCCCATGTGCAGGATTTGTTTGGCGATCTCCTGCATTTCGCTGTCGCTGGTCGACGCCAAGGTCGCCCACGTCTCGGCGTGCGCTTGAAGCACCGCTTGGAGTGCAGGGGCGTCAAAATGGCTCTCTTTGGCCCACGTAGACAAGTTGGCCAAGCTCTTAGCCGCGCCGAGGTTGCTTGCATCGTGGACACTCTGTCCGAGTGCGTTGAGGAGCGCGGCGTGTGCGCTGAGGAGCGGCGCCCACTCGGAAAGCAGCGAGAGGTTGCACACGATCGTCGTCACTGTCGACGACCCCTTGGCGATGGCGGCTGCCCAGATTGGAAGCCACGCGTGGGCGTGCGGCAAGAGGGCTTGCATGGTCTGGCTCTCGACGCTCAGACCCGCGATCGTGTGGTGGCACAGCGCTTCAAACGTTCCTTCCTCGGTTTGCTGCAGGAGGTAGCTCCCCCAGAGCGTCGACGACCCGACGCGCGACGCGGCCAGCGGATGCTGCACGAGGTGGCGCACCACTTTGAGCACCATTTCATCGGGGCGCGGCAATAACGCGAGCATCGTTTCCAGCAAGTTGGCCTCGAGAAGGCACGCAGCACTTGCTTCGTGGCCCGCCACGTGCAAGCAGATGCGCAAGACGCACCACGCGACGCTTGGCACATGCGCCATGATGGCGACAAGATGTGCGTAGTAAGGCAAAAGCGCGTCCTTGGCGGCGTCGTAGCCGGCGAGGTTTGCTACGGTTTCGAGCCGCGGCAGCCAGTTGTCGTCGGTCTTGGTCGTTGTATTTGCCAAGAGACGCTCGATGAGAGGCGACGACAAGAGCGTGGGTGCCGCCGTCTCGACGCTGCTGAGATTGCACAGCAGCACGACGGCGTTGGGGGGAATATCCCCTTGGGTGCGCGTCACAGCATCAAGAAGAAAGGGCAGCACGGTTGGAAACGACAGCAGCGACTCGGCGGTCGTCGGAAGCCGATCGAGGAGCAGCACGCCCATTGCACAGGCATCGTCTTGGAGCCCAATGGATGGCGCGGTAAAGCCGTGCACGAGAAGGGACCACGGAAACCCCCCGGAAGGCAACGCCACGTCGGGCGACGACAGCAGGTCCACAATGGCCGCGACCGTGTCTTGCTCGGCGTCCACATCTGGGGCTTCAATCGCGCGCTGCCACGACGCAAAGAGCGCACTGAGCTCGCTCTCGCTGTCAATGTTGCGGGGCGACGACGGCGCTTGCGTCTCTTGCGAACTTCGGTGCGTCGGAGGTATGACCGAGGGCCGCCCGAGCTTGAGGAGGAGCCCGTCGATGCGTTGGAGGAGGGTGTGACACCCGGCAAGAAACGCGTCGTCTTCGTCCGACGTCAAGTCGACGTAGAGCTGATTGCCTAGCACGAGCTTGAACTGCCCGCACCAGTGGCGCGGCGCCTTCATGCTCGGGTCCATGATCACGGGGATCATCCACTGCGCGGTTTGCGTCGCCTTGGCCATGCCAAACTCGAGCTGGCAGTTGTCGTTGGCGTTGTCGCCGTTGACCTTGTTTTGGTACAACTGTGTCACAAAAACGAGGACAATCTGGCTCTCTTCAATGCCATTGGCCATTGCTTTCAGAATGTTGCCCGACATTTTGTCTTGGTCAAACCACGTCTTGATCTCGCTAGGATATTCCGAGTTATTTCGTGGCCGTCGAATCGACACCAACTGTACTTTTGGCGAAGAAAGGCGCTGATGGTCGCGACACGCGCGTGGTTGTCGCGCCCGAGTTCATCGTGGCCCCAGTTGTGCGATAAGAACACGTCAAATGCCTTGGGCTGACGTGGCGAGGTGGACAGTCTTGCATCCATGCCATTGGCCATACTAAGGCTGCGCGAGAGTAGCGCCTTTCGGTGTTGATTGTGGAGCGACGCGAGCTTGGTCTGGTGGATCGTGTTGGTGACGCCGAGCGTTCCAAAGAGCATAGGTAGCTGCTCCGACTGCAAGTGCGCAACGACGTCGCCGTCGACGCCGTTGGCGAGGATGCCAGCTTCGTACGGCGCGTAGGCCGAGCCCAAGCCCACGACCTCGGCCGCAATCGCCGACGCACTGAGCTGGCGGAGGTCCTGCGTCGAGGCCCCGGCGCCCATTTGTGTGGAACGTCCGTCGGTTTCAGACCCGCCTTTTGGACAACTGCTTTCGTGCAGACCTTTGGCACAACTGGCACCAGCGACTAAGGTCGACTCGAGTGTGATCAAGTAAGTAGCTCATATAACGATGGCTTTGGGAAGATTCGGCGCACGTCTTTAGCGCCTCGGGTTCGTTGAGTGGGTGGTACTTTGGCTCGACTGGACTCTTCATTATGATTCGTGCATGAACCACAACAGCAAACGAGCCACGTTTGGAGTTGAAGGTAGTTTTCCAGCAAAAGGGGACCTGCGCTTTGACAGCGATGCACAAGCTCTAACTACGCGGTATCACGAGGTTCTCCTCAGAGATTGCAAGCCAAACAGTCACATCCTATCAGTGGTGTACATCGCATTTCTTTCCTGCAGTCGTACACTTCGTGCAAATGCTTTGGTCTTCGAGAGGCCCTAACGCCGTCTAGCCGAGGTGGGCCTACACCAGCGACTAGCCAAGTTATCGGTCATTTGTTTTCGTGCAAACCATCGACATAACTGGCACCAACGATCGTCGGATATGGTTGACGCCAGCATCGCCATGTTGCATTCATCCAGACGACGTTGGCTATCGAGGGCGTTGCGCGATCTAGACTCGGCGTGCGGCTTCTGCTCCTGGGCTCTGTCGAGCTGCCTCGCCGCTTGGATCTTGATGATGACATTACGTTTTGTCGTTCATCGCTCACGAGGCTCAAGATATAGGCCAAGAGAAGTTCAAGTATATCACCATCGCATCGCATCATCCGGCGCCTGTCGGGTCTCGAGCATTGCCAGTCCATTGAATCCACCGTACGCTCCAGTGCATCCCACTCTGCGCACAGACAATCGCAACCCATAACGTGGTGGCCTCTCGGTAGACGTCCTCGACGTTGTCTGGCAAGGTAGAACCTTCGTGCGTGGACAGTTATGTGGACTGGTTTTGTCCGACTGGTCTCGAAGCAGCTGTTGTTGTCGCGTTCGAACCAGCTGGTGCAGCTTACCACCGCACGCCCCGAGACGTCAGTCCAACGCAAGCGACGAGATGTTTGCGCGAGACAACGAACCCTCAGAAGGCCAAGCTACTTGGCCCATCGCGTGTACACTCAACGACCACCTCATGTTCGTGTCTTTTACAAATCTGCACGCGAGCTTGACACCCATTTTCAGTTGGCTTCAGTTTGCTCTTCAGTTTGCCATTTCCGTTGGATCGCATGCATCACAAGACGAAAGGCATCTACTTGTATGTCGAGGGCGACTCCATGCCAAGCCCGTCACCCTTTCAGCCGTTGACGACAAACGCACCAGAGCCCACCGCGTCGTCCGCCGTGATTCTTGAAGAGGCGGCAGTGGACCCCGCAGCCGCTCTCACAAATAGCAGCTTTGACGCGCGGTCCAGCACGGCCCTTCTCAACTCGCTTGCGGTGGTGCTATGTGCCGGTGTCGGCGTTGGCCTCGGCATCTGTCTCTCCAAGCTCCACGCAAGCGCCGACGTCCTCGCGTGGGTCAACCTTCCCGGTGCGCTCTTTGTCCGCGCGCTGCGCTGCCTCGTCGTACCGCTTGTCTTTTGTTCCATGACGGTCTCGATTGCCGAAGTCATTCTCCTCCAAAAGACCAACGTCCTCTCATGGCGCACGGCCGGCGTCTTCTTCGCCACGTCCTTCTCGGCGACGCTGCAAGGCATGCTTGTGGCGCTCGTGTTCCGGTCCGTCTTTGTTCCGGGTGACGTGGGCGGCACCGTGGTCACACCAGCGTCGTCGTCCGAACCGTTGATCGCGCTCAACTGCTCGAACGGCCGGTTTCTGCAGCCCCTTTTCAATGGGTTGCTTGCGTGTGTGGCTGCCAACGCCTCGGTGGCCGCCGCGCAGTTTCAGCTTGTCGACGTGCACCACGCGCTCACAAGTAGTGCAGGGGCTTCGTCCCTCCAGTCGCTCTCCCTCTCGGACCAAGTTATTGCGATCGTCAACGTCATGGTCACCGACAACATCTTTAACGCGCTCGCCAACGGATCACTCTTGAGCATCATCGTCTTTGCCCTACCGCTGGGTGTTGCCGTGGCCAAGGCGGACGGCGAGAGTGTTCTCTTGCCGCTCTTGCGCCAAATTCGAAATGCACTGCTACTGCTCATCAACGCCGTTCTCCGCGCGACGCCCGTCGCCGTCCTCTTCCTCGTGGCGAGTGCAATCGTCGACTATGGCACGAACGCTGGGCACTTTGCTGCTGGTATCGGGTACCTTGTCCTCGCCTTTCTGTGTGGTGTCGTCTGCCACGTCTGCGTTGCGCTGCCGCTGCTCTTGTTTGTCTGCACTCGCATTCAACCGTTTGCGTACCTCCGACAATTGCTTCCGGCGTACGTCTTTGCCTTTGGGTGTGCGTCATCGATGGTCACGCTGCCGGTGGCGGCCACCGTCGTGTACCAAACCCGCCACGTCTCACCGGGCTTTGCTCAGCTCGTGTTGAGTCTGGGCACACCCACCAACACGAACGCGGCGGGTCTCTACTACCCGCTCATGACGATCTTCCTCGCGACCATGGCGCGGGAAGCGCTGTCAGTGCCGCAGCTCGTCGTCCTTCTCTGCGTGAGCTGGCTGGGCTCGGTGAGCACTGCGCCGGTACCCAATGCTGCGCTTGTGATGCTCATGACGGTGTGGAAGACCGTGGTACCCAGCACGCCACTGCCGCCCGCGTTTGTCTATGTCGTGGCCGTCGACTTTCTACTAGATCGCATCTGCACGGTGGTCAACGTCAATGGTAATATGGTGGCCACGCGCATCTTGGCGGCCAAGTACGAGACGCAGGACACGCGAAACGAGTAGGCTGTGTTGTGTTGCCAAGAAGTAGCATGTATACTGTACGTAATGGCGTCTTGTGCGTGGTATGATGGTTGTGGACAGCGAATAACATGGGCTAGGCTGATGCAGATCAGTTTCGAGACGAGCTTTCTTGTTTTTGCGACGATACTCCTCCATCACCAAAAACCGAATGAGAATGACATTTCACAAAAACAAATATTGATTCAGATTGCTAGTGCTACATTGTACATACAAGAAACCTCGGGTCAAATCGCGAGCACATTTTTGTCGTCCAAGCCATCGGGGCGGCCACTGGGTCTTGACAAAGCCACGGCAGGGACTACGTCGGAGCGCTTAAACGACGACAGCTGCAGGCGCGGCGTCCATCACCGCATGCCCGTCGTCTTGATCGTCCTCGGCGCTCGAGTCGTTGCTCAGGTCGATGACGAGAGGGTCAGAACTGTCGTCGCTCAAGTCGATGATGACGGGGCCAGCATGGCGTTCGTTGTCACCATCAATCGCATCGTTGTTGTCTTCGGCGCCAACGTCGTCCATGCCGTCGTCGGGCGACAGACCAAACGCAGAGATCGCATTGCGCACCAACGGGTCGAGATTTGCCCACTGGTCCTGCGCCGCCCGGACAAAGTACCCCAGCGGCATCAACGACGCATCCTGAGGCCACTTGGCGTCGCGCAGCGGGACGTGAAAGAGCAGCGGAATGAGAGCTTGGCCGTGCAGTGCTTGGTGCACCTCTATGCACTGCAGCACGAGTTGCACCGGGTAGACTTTGTTGAATGTCACTGCGGGCGGCTCGATCGACGGCACCTGGAGCAGTGCCAGCGACGCGCTATACTGGATCGCCATCTCTGCAAGCCACGCATCGCGCTTGTCGCTGAGCTGGAGCAAGTCGACGTCCCAGAGATCTTGCGGCCACGGCGGCTGCGCCGGCACATCAAACGATACTGGCGGGTGCGCCGGGTGCTCGTCGGCGAGACGTTGCATGGCACTGTCCACCGAGTCAAAGCATAACGGTGCCCACTCAAAGCCGAAAGCGTCGAGACGGGCCACGATCCACGGTGCAAGACTGGTCGGAGTCAGTAGCCGAAGGGACATGACAACGCCGCCGAGTTGGAGGCCGTGCACGGACGCTGGCCAGGGCTCCATGGCTTGGATGACAAAGTCTGGGGGCACGTCCAGATGATGGTAGATGGCCTTGAAGGTCTCCAGCCCCGTGAAATTGCTCGCCCACTGCCCGTCGACGCGAGCTTCGGGCTCTGGCGACTGGAGGCGAGAAGCGGGCAGCGCAATGGCGCCGGGCTGGGAGGCACCCGTTGGCAGTGGTGCCTGGCACACTCGTAAACCGGTGGGAACCGTCGCACCAGATGAGTGCGGTGGCGGAGCGTCGCTTTCGACAGGGGCCGACCGAGCCGCCCCAATACAAACTGACATTGGCGCTGCCGACTCGCCACGGGAGCCACTGATCGCTGCCTTCGGCATCGACAACTCGAGAGACGCATCGGCCTCCCGGTCGGATTCTTCGTTGTCGTCGGTACCAAAGTCGATATGACTCATATCGTCGTCGTCAGCATCAAAGTTGAGAACACTGAAATTGTCGTCGTCGCTGTCCCCGTCCTTGCCGACCGGGGCAAGACCTGCAGCAGCCAACGCGATACCGGAGACAGGCGGTGGCGCGCCCACAAGCACACGAGCCCCCGGTGAATTGGACGGTGGTGCCTCTTGGCTTGATCGTGAGATTGACGAGATCGCAGCTGCCGGTGAGCTCGGCGGCAGGACGCTGCTTTCGACGGCAGGTCTCGGGTCGACGCGTACCTGCGACACCGAGTCCGCGCGAGTGCGCACAGAGGGTACCACCGGCGCCGATGGAACGAAAGCACGGTTGACGTCGTCGTTATGCGTGACGATAGGAGGGAACATCGCTACCGGCGGGCTGGGCGACGTCGCGCGGACATGGGCAGCGGCAGTCGGAAGCGCTGCGCCAGAGCAAGTCGGCGGTGCTGGCCACGCTCCACGATGACCACGGCTTGTTGGTGGTGGTACTAAAGCACCATTGGCTTGCTCACGCGACCCAATTGCGTCGATGGCGGCGACGGTTGCTGCCGGAAGCAGCCGGTATCTTCTCGCCGACGTCATGACGTCGACCCAGTGACCGAGCCGCATGTCATGCAAGTCCGCTGGCCACTCGGGCGCGCTTGGCACAACAAACGCTGTCGGCACAGACACTCGATTGTGGACCAAGTGGTACGTGCGCAGACCAACGACAATACGGCGCCACGTCTCGGCCGAGTTGAAGACAAAGCCAACGGTCGTCAGAAGCGCACGCTTGTGGGCAGTGAGAGCCGTCATGTTGAGGCCGACGGACCACGCGAGGTCGCCGAGGCACAAGCCGCGCCACGCGTCGATCCAGTTGCCGCCATTCGGAGGTATAAGAAAGTCTCTGGCGACAGCGCCGCTGCCAAATGTATCGCTGTAGATCTTGACCAGACGAAGAAACGCGTCAAAGTTGGGAATATCGGGCAGGAGACCCAACTCGAGTCCGTGGACACGTTCGGTGTAGTGGTCCGGAAGCTCGTAGACGTGCTTGCGCAGCATCGGAAGAACGTGTGTGAGGTGCACGTCGTGCATCGCAGTCGGCCATTCGGCAGTTGATGGCACAATAAAGCCGAAGGGTATCTCGAGATTGCCGTGGAGACGCCGGTACGTGAGGAGTGCGTCGATTTGGTCCGACCACGACACAAACCGGGGAGTCCGATGGTCAGCTCTGGTTGGGCTCACTTGGCAAGTTTCGTACCTGCACCCCATTCGACCGGCTCGCCAGCGGAAGCCGAGGGCGTCGAGGTCACGAAGGCGCGAGGGCGTCATCACACAATCTCCGCAGCGGATTCTGCCAACGATCTTGCCAAGGGCCATGTCGTGCAAGTGCGGCGGGTACGCTGACGACGCCGGCACACGAAATGCCGTCGGCATCTCAACGCGCCCGCACTCGGCGCGGTACGCACTGAGCGCGTCGATTTTGGCTTCCCACGTCCATGTAAGCCGGTGCTTCCTGCCCGCAGCACGACCGACAAACGGAGGATCATCAACGGCGGAAGATGACGCGCTACTCGAGCTCTCGTCATCGTCGCTGCTCGAGCTCTCGTCGTCGGCGCTGCTGAACTCCTCTTCATCCGACACAACTGGACTCGACCCAGGCGGCGCGTTGTCGGTCTCTTCGTCATGCAAAGACGGCTCATTCCCGTCAACGCCAAGCTCGTCCAATATCGACTTCTGGTTCCGGGTGAGCAGTGCTGCCGTGCGAGTCGACTCGCCGACCTGCATACCAGCAACTCGAGCTCGCTTGCACCGCCCGTCGTTTTGAGTCGGCGATGCACGCCGTTTGGACGGCATCAGCGCCGCCGTGGCACTGCCGAGCGGTGCAAGTCGGGCAGTGGCCGTCAGGTTGCGAGCGTCAATCGCTGAGACGGCGTCCATCGTCGCTTTCGGGAGGAGGTGCAGCGACTGCGCCTGCCGAAGCTTCGACGTCCAGTAGTTCAGGCGCAGTGGCGAGACCCCATCGTCCGCAACGCCATCGTCAGCTGGCACGTCGGCGCCGCCAGCCTCGAGACGACCCACGATGCCTGCCCAGGTGGCCGGTGTGTTGAAATCCATGCCAAGAGCAAGTAACTGTTTGCGCTTGTCGCTTGGCAGCGTTGCATTCTTGAAGCCGAGGTACCAGGCGAGCTCGCCGAGTCCAAAGCCGTGGTACTGCGTCGGCCAATCCGGTGTTGCTGGGACTGCAAAATCGAGTGGCACCGTATTCGGCTGGACGAGGTTCTTGAAGGTCGAGAGAAGCGACCGAGCGTCCGCCCACGGCGGCAGCTCGGAAAAGAGTCCAAGACCGTGCAACACCGTCACGTCGTTGTCCGAGAGCTTGTAAAATAGAGCGTGGAGCGTCTGCGGCACGTAGACGAGAGCGACGTTTGCTGCGTCCGGTGGCCATGCCGCGTCTTGCGCCGGAACCTTGAAGTCCTTTGGAATGTCGAGGTGGCCGTAGGTGCTGTGGTACGCTTGCAGCGCCGCAACTAGCGCCGTCAGAGGCGCGTTGCGAATGCGACGGGCACCACAGTCGTTGTACGTGAGGATGCGGAGCGTTCCACGATGCGGCAACCAGTCAAAGCCGAGCGCCTCGAGCTCGGCAAATCGGCCAGGCTCGTACAGTACGTCTTGGCTCGGTTGCGGAGCGAGCTGAAAGTGCGTCCGAGCTTTAGTCGATGCATTGACGCCGGCCAAGGCGCATGAGACGGAACGACGTAGCTGGTGGGGATCTGGACGTCACCGTGGAGCGAGCGGTAGAGTGCTGCGGCCAGCACCGTTGTCTCCCACGGCATCGCGCGAGCCAAGGATATTCACGTATGCCAGTCGCGTCAGTGTTCTTTGGCCGTTGGGTGCGCCCCGTGGGACGTAGGCATGATGGTTTGTCTTCCAGAGGGCAATGTCTCGTCCCAGCATGCCAACTCTGAAACACTGTGTAGTTAGACCAGCAAACCGCCCAAGTCCTTGACCTCATCGTCGAAGAAGATCAAACCCCGGGCGGGCTGGTAATATCCGCTTTCACATTGGATGCGAATGCCATTCGTTGGCACTGGGTTCGATGTATAGCGGTGTTAGAGTTCTAGCAGGTGCGATCTTCCGGATGCAAGTATTTATCCGGACAAAGCCAACGACTCCGATCGTTTGGTGCGAGTGCGATACCGTACACGTATATGCGCTAAGACAAATACACGTGTTAGCATAAAATGGTACTAGTACAATTGTTCGATCTGGGAGCTCGCACTGCCCGCGTCGTCTTGCTTCTGACGTGGTAGACGAGACTCCTCGACTTCGAAATTCGTCTTTACTTCGCCTCACGCTGTTGCGCTGTTAGTGCGCTCGTCAAATCGGAGCTCACGAAACCTAGCCCTATATTCATGGCCTTGCTATAACGTTGCATAGTCATATATATATTTATGATCGTGTTGCGTGTCATTTTACAAGGTCTTCGCAAACGTAGAGCCTAGCCATCTCCTTCATTCGCTCGTCGTAGTCGCATAGGACCAGGCGCTGGTCTCCGAACGTTCACTTCACTTTGAGAGACCGGAACACCGTCTCGTTGAGGTGTGCCAACATATGTACAACTAGTGAAAGCGTTCTTGCGCAGCTTTAGATTCAGGTGTATTCTGCACACGACCATGCGAAGTTGAGCGGGTCAAGAGCCTCGAGACCCTCGCGTCGACGTGGCCTTGTCGAATTTGTCGGACGAGGTCGCCCAGCGGTACCTTGCCTTCCATGACATACGCAGATGGAATGTTCGAGTGCTTCTGGACGACGAAATACCAGGACAAGGCACCGAGCAGCAACGGCCAGTCAAACCCGTCGTCGACTATCGGCGGTGGAGCGGGACGGTACACTTGGCGCAGCGCTACCTCCTCATTTCGTGCGTCCATGCTGTCAGCGCCAGCAGGCACAGCGCTCATCGCAACAGGTTCGCTGGCTGGATCGTTGTTCTCAGCACTCGGTTTGTCGTTGTTGCTCGGGTCAATGTCTTTTGACCAGCCATGTCTTGGTCGTTGTTGACTTCGGCACCAACGTCGCCATCGATCAAATCGCCGTTGTCGATGGCACCGACGTCGTCCATTTCGTCGTCGGGCGACAGACCAAACGCAGAGATCGCATTGCGCACCAACGGGTCGAGATTTGCCCACTGGTCCTGCGCCGCCC